CTGGGCTGGATCTGAACCCACCAGCTCTGGTGTATGTGGCTGGCACTTCAGCCACTTGAGCTACAGGTTCCAAGCCCATTTATTATTTTTTAATTGACACAGAGTCTCACTATGTTGCCCTCTGTAGAGTGCTATAGTATGATAGCTCATAGCAACCTCAAACTCTTAAAGCTCAAGTGATTTTCTTGCCTCAGACTCCCTAGTAGCTGGGACTAGAGGCACCGGCCACAACGCCCAGCTATTTTTGTTGTTGTTATTTATTTGTTTAGCAGGCCCAGGCTGGGTTTGAACTCACCAGCCCTGGTGTATGTGGCTGGTGCCCTAACCACCGAACTATGGACGCTGAGCCAGAATTTCTAGTTTAACGAATACTCAACATTTATAAAATCTTAATACATGGGCGGCGCCTGTAGCTCAGTGGGTAGGGTGCCAGGCACATACACCAAGGTTGGCCTGTACAAACCCAGCCCGGGCCAGCTAAAACAACAACAACTGCAACAACAAAAAAAATAGCCGGACACTGTGGTGGGCACCTGTAGTCCCAGCTACTTGGGAGGCTGAGGCAAGAGAATCACTTAAGCCCAAGAGTTTGAGGTTGCTGTGAGCTGTGACATCACAGCACTCTACCCAGGGTGACGGCTCAAGACTCTCAAAAAAATAAATAAAATCTTAATACATACATGTTACTGGTTTATATAAATTTTTTAAAAAGAACTAAAAATCTTAACACAGGACTGGGTGTGGAGGCTTACTCCTATAATCCCAGCACTTTGGGAGACTGAGGCAGGAGGATTACTTGAGCCTAGGAGGTTGAGAACAGCCTGGATAACATAGCAAGACTCTATCTCTACAAAAAAAGAAAAATAGCCAGGCATGGTGGTATGTGCCTATAGTCCTCGCTACTTAGGAGGCTAAGGCAAGAAACTCACTTGAGCCCAAGAGTTGGAAGGTGCAGTGAGCTGTGACTAGACCACTGCAATCCAGCTTAGGTGACAGAGCTGAGGCCGTCTCACTAAATAAATAAATTAAATCTCAATACAGGCCAGGTGCAGTGGCTCATGCCTACTCTGAGAGGCTGAGGTAGAAGGATTGCTTGGGCTTTGGAGTTCCAGACCAGCCTAAGCAAGAGTGAGACCCCATTTCAATTAAAAAATAAAAAAATTAGCCGGGCATTATGGTGGGCACATGTAGTCCCAGCTACACAGTAGGCTGAGGCAGGAGAATCATCTGACTCCAGGAGTCTGAGGTTGCTATGAACTAGGATGATGCCATGGTACTCTTAGCCTAAAGGAGACTATGTTCCACCCCCCCCCAAAAAAAAAAACAACTCAAAACAAACTAGAGGACTGAAAAGAGAGAATTTTTATTTATTTATGTGAGGCAGTCTCACATAAATATTGCCCAGGCTAGAGTGCCATGGCATCACACTAGGTCACAGCAACTTTAAAATCTTTGAAAGCTCAAACCATATTCCAGCCTCAGCCTTCCTAGCAGCTGGGAATATAGGCATGTGCCACTACACACAGCTACTTTTTCTTATTTTTAGTAGAGACAAAGTCTCACTCTTGCTCAGGCTGGTCTCAAACTCCTGAGCTCAAGGGATCCTCCTACCTCGGCCTCACAGAGTACCAGAATTACAGGTATAAGCCACTCAAAAGAGAATTTCTAAAAAGAGAATCAGAATAAAGACATTGTTATGAGACACTAGAAAGACATGAAATGGTTAAAAGCAAGGGTTAAGAGAAAGTTGAGAGTTCTTAGCAATATTCTGCTTACTTGGTCCTCTGGGTCTTTCCACTAGAATTCTCACCTGATTCTCCAGAGGTCATCAAAGAGTCCTTGCTCCAGCTGGGGCAGCAGCAGGGCAATGGCTGTCTCAGCGTACATGGAGATGACGCGCTGACCCGCACGCAGGGCGGTATCACGCACAAACTCATTCTCATCAGCAAGAGCCTGGGCACACAGAGGGCAGATCAGTCAGAGATCCCTGTCCTTGGGCACCAGCCCCAAAAGAAATGGGGCTCCCTGCAGAGCAGGATGATGGCCCTGCAACCTGCCCCTCCTCCTCAGCAGTTAGCCCTTGCATCCTGCTCTACCTTCATTATGGTCACTGGTACCTACTTTGAGAATACAGGGGATGATGGGCCCCACATAAGGAGTGAACTTGTCCCCAAAGGTGATGGGCAGATAGTTAAACATCATTATGTAGCCATCTCGGACGTGCGGTGCAATGTCCACTTTGCTGGCTGTGGCCACAATTTCTGGCATCAGCTTCTCCAGCTTCTCTACCCCCAAACCAGCCATGACTTCAGCCAACCCTGCAACAAAAGACCAAAATGAAGCCCTTGGATCTGAGAGCCCCTAGAGGGCATTACCGGCCTGGTCCCTGGGCCTTCTTCACCCTCACCTTGTGCAGCGCCTGAGCGATCCACAGAGCTCTGCTCATAAGTCAGCGTCTCCATCAACCATGGGAGTAAGTCCTCAAAGCATGACTCCCCCATGCCCTTCACCATGGCCCCAAGAGCCTTTGCAGACACTGTCCGAACCTGTCAGGTGATGGACAGCAGGGGTGATGACAATATGGCTCAAAACTACGCAGCCAGAAAGGAGCAGGAAGAGCTCCTTCCATTTACCCATGAGGCACAAAAGCAGATTTGGGGAATTATCAGGAATCAATTTTCTAAGGACTGAGCTAAAATAGTGAGCTCTCCTACCATCCTTGCAGACCTACCTCAGGCACAGGGTCCAAAAGAGAAGCTTTCAGGCCAGGTGTCACACTGGGCAGGTAAGGAGCCAAATCCTGCAAAAAGAGGCAACTCAAGAGAGGCCAGATTCCTGCTTTCTCCAGGACCTGTTCTGCTGTGACCCTGACTTCCCCATTCTGCTGACAAGGAGTGCTCCACAGGGACCACAAGCATGAAAAGTTGACCGCACAGAACAGGTAGGGAGGAGTAGCAAGCAAAGGACTCCCCCTCTGAATGGTGGCCTGAAGGCCCTGTGCAACAGCAAGGGGACCCTACAAGAGACCCCAAGTCTAACCTCAACAGGCCAAGAAGGCTACTAGTTCAATGTTCTTATTCCTCCTGCCCTTCAGAACAAGGTCTGAAATCTGTAGAAAATTATTTCTGGTACGTTCCTTTCAGAATTTCATTACCATTTCCCCTTTCTTCACCTCAAAATGTTTATGTCTCTTGATGTAGCATTCAGCTTTAGGGAATAATTTTAAATATAGAAAACACCTTATGTTCACTGCAGCATCACTTAAAATTGCAAAAAAATACCTTGGACATTATATGACCAATGATAGAATTACGTAAGTTATAGTGCATAAATCTGTTAGGATATTATATAACCATTAAAAATCAGTTTTATGGCTC